TGATAAACGGGTGCGCGCGCATAGTATTTGTTGAAAAATATGCGGGGGGCGGATAGTTGCTGCCTTGGGATGGTACGGGCTCATGTTTTGGATGGGCGATGGGGCAAAATCGTAGGTAAATTGCGATACGAAGAGGTGACTCGTTCATTCCGGGGGAGGATCGATCCTAATACCTTTTGGCGGCCGCGGATCCGCCAGACAGCCAGCCAGGCCCAGACGACGGGCGGCGACGAGGCGACGACGGGGCGGCGATGGCGACCACGGTGCCGCCAGACCGCCAGCCAGGCCCAGACGACAGGCGCCGACGAGGCGGCGACAGGGCGGCGACTGCGACCACGGAGCCGCCAGACCTCCAGCCAGGCCCAGTTCCTCAGAGCAGAAGCGAGAACCCTTGAGTGCAAGCAGGCACTTGTTGGGGAGGTATGCGGTGCAAGCTACAGTGGGGGCCCATGCCGAGAGACACCCTGCTTGCCTCCAGGGTGCCCTGGGCTTCTTGGGTCTCGTTGGTTTTTGCCATGGGAAGCGTGACGTTCCCACAACAGAAATCGATGGACGTCCTGGGGTCTTGGGGTTGGGTTTCTTGTGGACGGTTCCTTGTGGTCGGGCCCCTACTGTCTGTGGTGCAAGCCAGTTTGTGCAGGCCATGGCCTGGAAGCCGTGCTGCGCAGGCTGGGAGCCCGGGGCGCCCACGAGGCGGCGGCACCGGGCGGCACGCCACGCACGGGGCGCCCTCACCGAGCGGGCCACGGGGCGGCGGCACGCACGGCGGCGTGGGGCAGCCTCGGCACACACACACAAACACACACACACACACACACACACACGCACACACGCACACACGCACACACGCACACACGCACACACGCGCACACGCACACACGCACACACGCACACACGCACACACGCACACACGCACACACGCACACACGCACACACGCACACACGCACACACGCACACACGCACACACTCACACACGCACACACGCACACACGCACACACGCACACACGCACACACGCACACACGCACACACGCACACACGCACACACGCACACACGCACACACGCACACACGCACACACGCACACACGCACACACGCACACACGCACCCACGCACACACGCACCCACGCACCCAACCCATCCCCCCCACCCCCCCACCCCCCCACGCCCCACACCCCCGCCACACCGAGCACCCACAACAGCCACAACAGCCACAACAGCCACAACACCCACACACCCACACACCCACACACCCACACACCCACGCACCCACACACCCACACACCCGCACACCCACACACCCACACACCCACACACC